TCTCACCTTGAGGGTGAGCAGCAGCTGCAGGGCGTTGGCGTGGGGAGGGGGCTCGGGCAGCCCCCAGAGCCGGGCGGTGCGGAAGAAGAGCAGGTACCCGAAAACCCAGAGCAGCGCCGCCCCCCCGCTGTGCCTGCGGGTTTTGGGGGGTCCCCGTGAATTTGGGGCACCCCAAAATCCTCCCCCGAACCCCAAAATCCTCCCCCGAACCCCAAAATCCCAGCCCAGCCCACTGGGGATTTGGTTGGGGGGGGGGTAAAAATTCTTCCTCCAATAAGGGGATTTGGGGGTCCCAAAATATTTCTGAGCCCCCCCAAATTTCCCCACGCCCTCACAGAGAATTTGGGGAGTCCAAAAATCCCCTCCCAGATTTTGGGGGGTCCCAAAAATCCCCCCCCCCACCAAGAAAGAATTTGGGGAGTCCAAAAATCCCCACACAGAAAGAATTTGGGGGGGGGGGCAAAAATTATTCCTCCAATAAGGGGATTTGGGGGTCCCAAAATATCTCTGAGCCCCCCAAATTTCCCCACGCCCTCACAGAGAATTTGGGGGTCCCAAAATGTCTCTGAGCCCCCCCAGAGAGAATTTGGGGAATCCAAAAATCACCCCACAAAGAATTTGGGGGGGGTCCCAAAAATCCCCCCCCCCAATAGAGAATTTGGGGGTCCCAAAATGTCTTTGAACCCCTCCCCAAATTTTCCCCCCTCAGAGAATTTGGGGGGGTCCCAAAATGTGTCTGAGTCCCCCCAAATTCCCCCCCCCGTCACCCTGGCCCTAATTAAGCAATAACGAGCTCGGCTGATAACGAGCCCCAAACCCGGGGGGGAGGGGAGGAAAGGCTCCAGACACCCCAAAATGGAGCTGGGACCCCCAAAATGGGTCAGGGACCCCCAAAATGGAGCTGGGACCCCCAAAAATGGGTCAGGGACCCCCAAAATGGGTCAGGGACCCCCAAAATGGAGCTGGGACCCCCAAAAATGGGTCAGGGACCCCCAAAATGGGTCCGGGACCCCCAAAAATGGGTCAGGGACCCCCAAAATGGAGCTGGGACCCCAAAAAAAGGGTAAAGGACCCCCAAAAATGGGTCAGGGACCCCCAAAATGGAGCTGGGATCCCCAGAAATGGGTCAGGGACCCCCAAAATGGAGCTGGGACCCCCAAAAAGGGTAAAGGACCCCCAAGAAAGGGTAAGGGACCCCCAAAACCGAGCTGGGAGCCCCCAAACTGAGCTGGGACCCACAAAAATGGAACTGGGACCCCCAAAATGGAGCTGGGATCCCCAAAAAGGGTAAAGGACCCCAAAAAATGGGTCAGGGACCCCCAAAAAGGAGCTGGGATCCCCAAAATGGAGCTGGGATTCCAAAAATGGAACTGGGACCCCCAAAATGGAGCTGGGACCCCCAAAAACTGAGTTGGGGCCCCCAAAATGGAGCTGGGACCCTCCAAAATGGGACTGGGATCCCCCCAAAAGGGCTGTGGGACCCCCCAAAGGGGCCAGGGACCCCCCAAATGGGCCAGGGACCCCCCAAATGGCTCCAGGACCCCCCAAAATGGGACAGGGACCCCCAAAAGGGCTTTGGGATCCCCCAAAAGGCTCCAGGACCCCCCAAAGGGGCTGTGGGACCCCTCAATATGGGCCAGGGACCCCCAAAATGGGACAGGGACCCCCAAAAGGGCTGTGAAACCCCACCCAAAGGGGACAGGGACCCCCCAAAAGGGCTGTGGGACCCCCCAAAGGGGCCAGGGTCCCCCCCAAAGGGGCCAGGGACCCCCAAAAGGGCCCAAGGACCCCCCAAAAGGGGCCAGGGACCCCCCAAAGGGGCCAGGGTCCCCCCAAATGGCTCCAGGACCCCCCCCAAAAGGGGCCAGGGACCCCCCAATATGGGACAGGGACCCCCCAAATGGGACAGGGACCCCCCAAAAGGGGACAGGGACCCCCCAAAGGAGCTGTGGGACCCCCAAACGGGCCAGGGTCCCCCCAAAAGGGCGAGGGGGTCTCACCTGGGCAGGCAGGTGAGCAGCACCCAGGTGCCCAGCGCGGGACAGGGACCCCTCAAAGGGGCTGTGGGACCCCCCAAAATGGGACAGGGACCCCCCAAAGGGGCCAGGGACCCCCCAAAAGGGCGAGGGGGTCTCACCTGGGCAGGCAGGTGAGCAGCGCCCAGGTGCCCAGCGCGGGACAGGGACCCCCCAAAATGGGACAGGGACCCCCCAAAATGGGACAGGGACCCCCCAAAATGGGACAGGGACCCCCCAAAAGGGGACAGGGACCCCCCAAAATGGGACAGGGACCCCCCAAAATGGGACAGGGCCCCCCGGTCTCACCTGGGCAGGCAGGTGAGCAGCGCCCAGGTGCCCAGCGCGGGACAGGGACCCCAAAATGGGACAGGGACCCCCCAAACGGGACAGGGACCCCCCAAAATGGGACAGGGCCCCCCGGGTCTCACCTGGGCAGGCAGGTGAGCAGCGCCCAGGTGCCCAGCGCGGTGCCCAGCGAGTGCAGCACGTGGGGGCCGCAGGTCAGCAGCGCCAGCCCCGCGCCCACCGCGGCGCCCCCAAACTGCCGCCAGCGCGGGCCTGGGGGACCCCAAAAACGGGTCAGGGA